CCTGGAAGGAAACCTAGAAAATAGTATTCTGGATATCGGCCTTGGGAAAACATTTATGCCTAAGTCCTCAAAAGCAATTGCAACAAAAACAAAAATTGACAAGTGAGAAACAGTTACTGCAGAGCAAAAGAAACTTTATCGATAAACGGAGTAAACAGACAATCCACAGAATTGGAGAAAATAATCACAAACTATGCACCTGACAAAGATCTAATATCCAGAATCTATAAAGAACTTAACAACTATATTTTTTAAAAATGGCCAAAAGACGTGAACAAACACTTCTCAAAAAAAGACATACAAGTGACCAACAAATGTGAAAATATGCTCATCATCACTAATCATCAGAGATATGAAATCAAAACCACAATTAGCTACATTTCATGCCAGTCAGAATGGCTAGTATTAAAAAGTTAAGAAAACAACATGCTGCTGAGGCCACTGTGAAAAGGGAATTCTAATACACTGTCGGTGGGAATGTAAGTCATTCAGTTCAGCCACTATAGAAAGCAGTTTGGGGACTTCCCAAAGAACTTAGAACTGGCATTGTATCCGGCAATCCCATTACTGGGTATATATCCAAAGAAAATAAATCATTCTACCAAAAAAGACATATGTATTCACATGTTCATTGCAGCACTATTCACAATAGCAAAGACATGGAATCCACCTAGGTGTCCATCAATGGTAGACTGGATAAAGAAAATGTGATACATATATACCATGGAATATTACACAGCCATAATAACAACATAATCATGTCCTTTGCAGCAATGTGGATGCAGCTGAAGATCATTATTCTAAATGAATTTATGCAGAAACAGAAAACTAAATACCACATGTTCTCACCGAAAACTAAGCACTGGATGGATACTCATGGATGTAAATATGGCAACAATGGACACTGGGGACTACTCTAGAGGGGAGAGAGGGAGGATGGCAAGGTTTGACTATTGGGTACGATAGTCACTTCCTGGATGATAAGATCAGCTGCACCCCAAAGCTCAGCATTATGCAGTGTATCCATGTAACCTTCATGTGTACCTGCTGAATGTAAAATAAAAGTTGAAATTATCTTTCGAAATTGTAATTTCTGAGAGAAGAAATAGGAAAATTTATACTACCTGATTTATAAATGTACTATAAAGCCACAATAGTCAAGATAGTGTGGTATTGGCTTAAGGATAGCTAGCTAGATCAGTGAAACAGAATAGAAGGTTTAGATATAAACTTAGATTTTTTACAGGGCACTTCAATGGAGAAAAGGGGATATAACATTTGCTGCTGGGAAAACTAAATCCATATGCCAATACAATTAAAAAGCCTTCACACCATACACAAAAATTAAAATGTATCATAGAGCTGAATGCAATAACCATTTAATTTCTAGATGAAAACATGGGAAAAAACCCTTATGATCTTGAGTTAGGCAAAGATTTCTTAGATACGACACCAAAAGCATTATTAATTTAAAAAATTATAAATTTAACTTTGTAAAAATTTTAATTTCAAAAGCACTATTAAATTTCAAAGGCAGCTGTGTGCAGTGGCTCATGCCAGCAATCCCAGCACTATGGGGGGTAAAGGTAGGTGGATGGCTTGAAGTCACGAGTTCGAGACCAGCCTGGCCAACATTACAAAACCCTGTCTCTACTAAAAATACAAAAATTGGCCAGGCATGGTGGTGTATGCCTCTAGTCCCAGCTGCTTGGGAGGCTGAGGCACAAGAATTGCTTAAGCCCGGGAGGCAGAGGTTGCAGTGAGCTGAGATTTGCACCATTGTACTCCAGCCTGGACGATACTCCATCTCAAAAGAAGAAAGAAGAGAGAGAAGGATGATACTCCATCTCAAAAGAAGAAAGGAGAGAAGAGAAGAGGGGAGAGGAGAGGAGAAGGGAGGGGAGGGAGGAAAAAAAAAGGAAGTAAGGAAAAGAAAAAAAAGAAAGGGCAAACCATAGACTGTGAGAAAATACTTGCAATTTTACATCAAATAAGTAGCTTATATCCAGTTTTTTTTTAGAACTCTTACAACTCATTAAGATAATCCAATTAAAAATGGGCAAAATATTTGAATGGTATTTCACCAAAGAAACTGTAAAACAAGCATTACTACCAAGGTATTCAGCTTCATTAGTCATTAGGAAAATGCAAATTAAAGATGCCCTCCCTTTTTTCCACTAATGGCTATGATCAGTAAAAGTGGAAATACCAATTCTTGGCGAGGATATGGAGAAACAAACGATCGTACATTGCTGGTGGAATAAGGAATTGGTACACCCATTGTGGAAAACAGTTGGATATTTCTCAAATGATAAAAAATAAATTTCCCAAATAACTCCCCAAAAATAATATTAATAACTTTTAAAGGAGATAAACACATTATATAGCAATGTGAACAGCAGTTATCATAGTCTTCAATAATTCAAGGCTCCTAACTCTCAGCTACTAAGACCCTTTTATGCACAAAGGTTTTGACACTAGAGATCATAGAAATAACACTTAATTGTGCATCTAAAGGCATGAGTTTAGATGCATGTTTAACTTTGGGGAAATGTAGCTATAAAATCTCAACTCTGAAATCAGAGGATTTGAGATAATTTTTAATCTTTCCACTTTTGAGTTTCTATGAATTGGGATTGAGATTTGACCGTCTTACCTTACTCTGATTAAGAGTCATGAAATAGAACTCTAAAAAGAGAAAAGCATTGGAATTAGAGCCATCACCTGTTTAACCTTAGGCAGATTATTTAAACTTTCTGATGCCTATGGCTCTTAAAACGCAAAATGAGAGGATGTAGGAATTCATAACTTCACAGTTAATCTGAAGATACTGTACACATTAGAGATGTAGTTGGTTGGTTTCCTTCTTCATATGTCTAGAAAAACTCATTTCATGCTCTGTTCTGAGAGATAGTCAATGCTCTTCAGAAACCCTAATGACAAAGAGCTGAACATGACCCAGAGAGAGGATCTGAGAAAAAAATTTAATTACAAACAAGTTTAAATTTAATTTACTCACCCAGTGTTTTTAAATGTTCCTTTGGTAATATCTTTAAGAAAGTCAACCATCTAGTTGATACTGTCTTTTCAATGACAAAGTGTCAAGTACCTTATGAGGTGGGCATTGTGTCTGGATCATTTCTGTAATGAAGTTCCTCTTTCCTTTGAGCTACATTGGTGATTTGTGATCCAGAGTTTTCTATTCATCCTCCCTGTTTCTATTCTTTCGGCTAGTACAGAACAATCTGTAGACAAGACAGCTAACAGTTCTTCCAAGTAATTTAACAGTAAAAAATGAACACCTCCCAGGGTTCCTGAAATCTTTCTTTATATGTCTCTGATTCAAGAACTTTGACCAACCATCCTGTAGGTACTATTCTGTTCTCACCCACATCAGAAGACACTGAATATGATAGCAGAGAGTCAATTTCAGAATTGGCCTTGTCTGCTCAATATGTTGATAATATTTCTCACTGTGGCCTTTTTACTTGGACTTCTGGTTTGAGATGTTTCCACTCTTTGCAACCAGATTATTACTTAAGACTTTTAAATCCGTTATTCATTGGGTACAGGACACATCTCTCCATTGTTCTTCCTTGGATCTTACATCTAGCTGAGAATAAGATGACATTAACTTACTTTGGTCTATGTCCTGGCCAGTCTTCAACAAGAAGTTGAGGAGTAAGAAGCTGAATATAGTCTAATTTTTTTCACATCACTGTTTCATGCTGTTTGACTAGCAACTAGACTCAAGTGCCAGTTTTCAGTGACACTTAAAAGACCATCTCAGATGTGGTATGGGTGTGATAATCCTTCCCTCCCTTCCAAATATGTTCATGTCCTAATCCCTGGAACCTGTGAATATGTTGTTACATGACAAAGTGGATTTTTTAGATGTGATAAAGTTAATGAACTTAAAATAGATTATCCAGGTAGATCCAATCTAATCATATAATCCTTAAAAGAAGAAAAATTTTCTAACCTATGAGAGAAAGATGTGAAGAAAGAAGATGGGTCATAGAGATGCTACATTGCCAATTTTGAAGATGGAGGAAGGAAATAATGGAGCCTAGGAATGCAGGTGGCCTCTAGAAGGTGGAAAAAGAAGGGAAATGGATGCTCCCCTAGACTCTTTTTTATAGTGAAACCATGATGAACATCTAACTGCAGAAATATAAGATAATAAATATGCTTATTCAGCTACCAAGTTGGTGGCAATTTAATGCAGCAATAGATAACTACTAATGCAATAATGAGGTTAATATTACTTTTGTTAAGCTACACTTATTCTTTAAATTAATGAAGTTATTTTTAAATTTCGTTTAGAGATAGCCAATGGAATAATTATAAGGATACAAATATGCTTATGGAACAAATTTAGGCACAGGAGAAAATTTTGATGGAAATATTGTCATTAACTATACAAAGAAATACAGTGTCAATATTAGGTAATTTAAAGATCTTAATCTTTATCACTCCATGTTATATTTTAAAATAGATTAGAATTATTCACTATACCAAGGTGACTTTATCTCCTACAACACTTCAGTGTCGTTTTTAATTCATTTTTATAGTTTCACTGACTTTATTTCCCCCAAATGATTATCATCACTTTCAGCCCTACAAAATTGTGCTATGTGTGTTGTTTACAAACTTCTCAGTTAACAGGTTGCGTGTGTTTTGACAAATTTGTCATGTGACAAACATTCTCCGTTCCTGACTTTTTGGAGCAAGAAAGGTAGATTTCTTTGTTGATGTTGAAAAATGAATAAATGAAAATTTAATTTCCTATCCTTTTTATACTTGGAGTAGCACTTACGTTACTACCTATAATAAAACCTGAACTCTCTGCTAAGGAAAACTATCACCCCACAATCATTCATCTCCCAAAATGAAAAAGTGCAAGGGAGCCCTAATTTGATTCTTCTTATAACTCTTGGGGAAAGTTGCCATTTGAAAATTAACTTGATTTCAGAATGAGGCATTGATTTAGAGACAGATAACGTTTTAAAAATTTATCCTTTTAATTATTGAATCAGTAAGGACTATATTTTGCTGTTTATTGGTATAAAACAGCCCTGTCCCAGGTATACAAGGGTATACGTAAGTCTGTAACATCATTAGCTACGGTGAATTTACTAGACAGCATAGCAAAATAGGATTAACTAAAGATATATTTTTAATAAGAAAATGCTTTGAAATAACATGAAATCAATGAAGAGTTGACTGTACAATTTACTCAAAATATCAACGTATGTCAGCTCATGTGTGAATTATACTAGGTCATTCTAAACACAGCCATGTGCTCAGGAATGTGTGAAATAACTCATAAGCTATTCTCTAAGGGGGTGTACTGACAACTTCCAAAAGTACCCCAGATATTTGGTCATAGATAAGAGATATACTTTAAGGCAAACTTCCATGTAAATGTAAACTTTTCTAAGTGGCTTTTCCAGTAATGTATTACTACTGTGAATACTCTGTACTTATTTGTAGTACTGTTGGATATTTTTTTGGTAGCACATTATCACACTAATCATCATTTTGTTAAAAAAAAAACAGTGTAAAAATCCTGCAATTATAAAAATGTCTGGGGTGCTTTTACTCATGGACATAAAGCAGGCACTTTCTGTTGACATATCTGCAAATCCTAAATGTTTTCTCCTTATAGTGTTTATGTTTAGCTAGAATTGTTTCTAATATTATTTGTGTTCTAAATACTGTTCACATATTGAGAAATAATTTGCCTAAAATTTGTCTAATTTAAATCTGAGTTTAGAATTTCTTTTCATAGGTCATATTCTACAGAAGCATTAAAAATAAATAGTGCTACTCTTTGAACATTTTTCAACATGATGACATTTTTCTGTCTGTTATACCTTTCTCCAAAACAGTTTTCAGAGCATATGAACTAAACTGACTATACTGGAGAAGCAGATACAGGCCATTATAGGGTCCCCTTGTCATGACCAACTTGTTTCATTTAATCTCCTTCTTAGCCTTATAATTGGCAGAGACCACCAAGTAGTTATCTGGATTCATGTCCTTTAGAGTTGGAGATTTGCTTTGGATAGGGGATGTTTTGCCATCCACACGGGAGATCTGCAGCATTCGGCAGGGGTCGTGTTTCAACAAATACCCTGCAAAAGTTTCCCAGCCTCCTCCCACACGGACCATGACATGTTTGTTGTGCAGCATCTGAAATGAAAAAACATTAAAAGTGTTAAATTTGCGAATTCTTACAGTATCCTGAATCAAACCCTGGTTCTAGTGAAATTAGTGTTTTGGTTCATATTTCATGAACCATTGTTTTTCTACTTGGTGTACAATGTCTGAGTTAGCATACAGTCTATGAAAGAAGTCCTGCTTTTTTCTATGGAAGTGGATTAAGGATAAACATCCTCAGAACCCAGCTTTGCTGTGCTATGGGAACCAGCACCTACATATAATTCTTTGGTTTAGTGTGCCTGGAGGTTTCTCTCTGACATCTAATGTTCTATTACAGTTCTTATCACTGCCTCTGGTTCCTGCCTACTGACTTTGCTTGGTGCTCCATTTTCCCCAGTGGGTTATTCTCCTCTGAGTCAGGATTTTAAAGACCATGGAAATGTCTGCTATTGAATTATAATGCTAAGATTCAGACAAATATTCCATACAAAATAACATTGAAAATGCACTAAAAAAATTAATGGAGTTTTACCCAGTCATTGTCTGAGCCCTTGAAGGCAAGGTGTTTTTGAATAGGCAAACATCTATATTTTTCTTTATTATTTTTCTTCCTAATTTTTGTAAAATATGGCTTTTAAAACAAACAAACAACTTACATCTAGGACCAGGAGCCATCTAGAGCTCCAACTTAACAAAGTTATTGATTTAAATGTGAAGAATGCATGAATCTTTCTGTCTAGCAAAAATATGTTATGGAGGTTTGGCATTGAAAGCCAAAGAATTTGTCATCAGCTTCTTTCAAATATCAGAAAATTTACTATTAAGAGGTAATGTTGCATAATCATCAAAGACCCTGCTGACTCCCTCTCCCCCTCTCCTGCCCACTATGTTATGATACATATGGGCACCATAATGTTGAGAAAAGGATGTGATTATGAGAGAACGTCTGGGAAGTCACATCATAGAGGCCACAGAATCTGTTTCAATTCTTCTTACTCTGTGTCAGCTTGAGATCTAGACTTTTTTTGACTCCCAGCCAGTGGGAGATGACTTGTGTTCTTACCACTTTCATGTAGGTTTTGATGAAGGTTTTGGACCCGCTTTCTATATGCTTGTACCTAAAATTTATACATGTGTATTTGGGGGTTTCACAGAATCTCATTTATGTGGTTGACATGAAGTGGTTTTCAAAATCAAATATTGTACCAACTAATAAAAATTTAATAAAAAATAGTAATTAAAACTAATAGATTTATAAGAAGTAAGTGTATTTCTACTGGTTATTCTCATTTAGAATATTAGAATTTTATAAAGTGAAACCAGCAGAACTGTCCCATAGAACTGATGTTTTTGGTTTATTTTGAATAAACATGGGAATTGACCTACCTAGTCTTAAAATTTGAGAAAATTACAATTGTCTTATTTGAGTTCCCTTCTCAGGAAACCAACCAGCAGACTCCCATATTGTATGAAGGAGCTGAAACTCACTAGATCACCGCATCTAGACAATGAGACCTCCGATCCCTCCTCTGTTGTGATTGCCTAATGGACCATCTGCTTCCTGTTGACCAATTCCTCTTCCTTACCCCTCCGTAATTCCTGTTTTCATGGTTACATTTCTTCCCTGGTATATAAATCCTTAATTTTAGTCCATCAGGGAGATGGATTTGACACTGACAACCTAGCTGTCTGGCTGCAGCACCTGAATAAGGCCTTTTTCCCTGGCAATACTCATTGTCTCAGTGACTGGCCTTCTATGCAGTAAGCAGCAGGACCTAGATAGAACCTCTGGCATTTCAGTAACAAAAGGACCTTAGAACACATCTTCTAGCTGGAAGTCTTCAAAGTTATTTTAGCATTGGAATGTACTCATTAAATAAAATCTCAATGAGAACCGCTGAAATAAAAGCAGATAAAAAGAGAGTTTAGCTTGTAACGACTTTGCCTTTCCTAGCCCTGCCAGTGGTACTGAAATTGGCTCAAGTGTCCCACAGAACTAGTATTTACTTATATAAATAAATATAGAAATTGAAAATTTGAAACTTAAACTTGCAACTTAAATTTGCCTTATCTGAGTTTCTCCCTAGCAAACTGACCTTTGGTTAAGGAACAGATGGTACAAGATAATTAGATGCCAGACTCCTTACCCTCCCTAAAATTCCTATTTTCCTGTATGTAGCTACATTCCTTCTCCACTATAGAAACTCTGAATTTTAGTTGATTGCTAAAATGAATTTGAGACTGATTTGTTCTTCTTTGCTGCAGCACCCAAATGAAGCCTTCTTCCCTGGCAATACTCATTGTATTAGGGATTAGCTTTCTGTGTACCAAGCAAGAGGGCCTAACCCCTGGTGTTTTGGTCACAGTACCATGCTGTTTTACAGATGCAGACACTGAGAACCAGATCTTAGGACCTAAGTAAACCAAATAAAAGATCTGATTCTCAGTGTCCGATTCTGTAAAACAAGAACCTGACTGAAGTCAGGTTGGACTGGAGTCAGGTTGGACTAGAGCCAGGTTCTTAGCACCTGATTCCAGTTTAGTGCTTTTCTCATGACAGTTTTTACTAAAGAAATAAAATCAACTAGGGCTTTTATAATTTCATCCGCATATTCATAGTCCCACATGTTTCTGCATGTGTCTCTACTGCCAGCTTCCAAAACTTAAAGTCACTGGGACAAAAGCTGCAAAGGCCAATGTCAGAATAACACTTTGCTTCTCCCACCGTTCTAGAGAGCAACTTTGCCTATTGTTGAAGTTCTGGCACTTCCTAGCTCTGCAACTTACATTTAAGAGTTGCCTCCAAATATCCTCAGTTTCAACACCCCTGGCAAAATGCCCAAGTTCAATTCAGTGCTTGTGAACAGGCCATTTCAACCAGAAAGAACCGCCAGTCAGAAAGGTTTTTAAACAATTCTGGGAAGCAGTGACAGAAACATTTTTCAGCCTGGGGTATACCGGCCATTTAGGCACAAATTCAGTTTGCTAATTTCTTAATGAATCCATAGTACTATGCAAAGTGGATACAGCATGAAACAGAGTCATACAGAATATGAATAACACAGGAATTAAATTTCTGCTCACTTCCTCTTCCACATCCTTTCTACTGCAGATATTAGTCTCAGTCCAATATTCTTACCACAGTCAATAAGGGAGAATTAGCCAGAAATACTTAAAATGTATTTAGGTTCACTTTCCTGCCTTGGTAAGTGGAGTCTAATGGACATAATTGTATTTTTGTGAATAACATCCATCTCCAAAGTCTAGCTTCATTATGTGAATGTTCCTTTAATAAGAGCTACAGTTGGAGGAAGCATACAGATTTGTTGATTGATTTTGTGTGATTGTTGGGTGGAGGAATCTATTTGTTGTTTTCTCATTTTGAAACATGAATCTAGGGGTTTCATGAGATCATCTCATCCTTTTGAAACTTGCCCTAGTGTCCCATAGAACTAATGTTTATGATTTCTTTTGAATAAGCATAGACATTGACCCTCCCAGTCTTAAAATCAGAGAAAGTTAGAATTGTTTTATCTGAGTTTTTCTCAGAAAACCAACCATCAGGCCTCCCAGATAGCGTCAAGGAACTAAAACTTACCAGATTATCACATCTAGACAATAAGGGCCAGACCCCTCACCCATCATGATTGCCTAAGGGACTACCTGCATCTTGTAACCAACTTCTCCTTACTCATTCCTAATTCCTATTTTCCCACACATAGTTATATTTCTTCTCTGCTCTATAAACCACTAATTTTAGTCAGTTGAGATGGATTTGGGACTGATCTCCCATTCTTGGCTGCAGCACCTGAAAAAGCCTTCTTTCCTGGTAACATTCATTGCCCAGTGGTTGATTTTTGATGTAGAGAACAATAGGACAAAGACCAAACTGCTGATCCATTGGTAACAATTTGCCTTTGATTGTGGTTCTGTAGGCAATACCTGGAGAGGTGTTTTTCTCCAAGGTATGAGCCGACCTCCTTCCACTCCCAGAATTTTAAAGGAAATAATGAACAGACAATTTATACCTACATTTTTGAAACATGTTCCACAAAAATAGAGAATTGTTTTAGAAACGGATGCAACTTCTTGTAAAACATTTACAGGAGACATTGCTTTATATGCACACCTTAGGAAGGGATATTACTAACAGTAAAATCAGATATCATAGGTTTCTTTCTTTTGGAAGATTTCTATTAGGTATCAGCCTTAGTAGTCTGTTTGACTTTTCCAATTATTGCAAAAACAGTTTATATTTTTCCTTATCTCCTCTATGGACCTAGTCACTGCCCTCTGGGTTGGGTCCTTATACATTTATCAGAACTGTAAAATGCTTCTCTCTTGCTTTGAAGGAGTTGTTTTTTCCTTTTTCTTTGCTTTTCTAAGCTACGCTGGAAAAAAAAAGAGAAAACATATATAAACACACTATTGCCTTTCACTGAATGCTTCCTTGATGTTGTATTTGACAAGCATCTAAGCATCCACGATTCATGTACTTACCCATAATACTTAAAACCAAAAGGACTTTCTACAATTTCAAAGAAGAATATTGATTTCATATCGAAGAGGAGTAATTGTGGAATCCATTACCTTTCCTCATGCCTCATTTTGGCTACTCTTGGGAGATGGAAGGGTTTTAGGTCAATATTATCAGGTTTCCACAGCAAACATTGCCACTCCTCTCCATGAAATTGGTGGTCCTATCTGAGAATATACTCTAGAAAACAGATTTTCAATTCTGAGTCATTCTTGCTGAATTCTCAGACCTGAACACTATAATTTGCTAAGAAAGCCAGTGGCTAAGCTGTTCAAAAGTTTCAAGCATGGATTAAGATGTTAGGGTTATATGAAAGATAAGTGTTGGCAAGAATGTGGAGAAAAGGAAACATTTACACACTATTGGTAGGAATGCAAATTAGTAGAGCCATTATGGAAAACAGCATAAAGGTTCCTCAAAATATTAAAAATAAAGGTACCATATGATCCAGCAATCCCACCACTAGGTATATATATATATATATATATATATA